AGTTGTGTATAAAAAGGGGGGGGGGGGGGGGGGCGGAAAGAATCAAAAGCGTTTCCTGATCTTGTTCCAAGGACAATGTCACATTAAGAATGAACACGGACTGAAAAGGTAGTAATTACTAGAAAGCATAACTCTCATTAAACGGTATATTTAAAAAACGTAACAGGAAAGGATAAAATTACTAACTAATTCTATTTGCAGCTGTTATTTGGAAATGAGTACTCAAGGTCAACTTCACTCCAAGCATGTTCTTCTGGGCTTTGCCTGTGCTTACTTTCATTGTGTTTAAAAGAACTAGTCATTAGTTGTCAATAAACTGTTTTTAAAGCCTACTTGCTCACAGACTTCTCTTGTCTCTGCTTCATTTTTCTGTCTTTTTTTTTTTTTTTGAGGTTCCGCTGAGAGCAAATGTTCTTACAAATTTACAAGGAGGTATTTTATACCAGAGTAGTCTTATCCTTACAAAAGATATAAAAGAAAATAAGAATGCAGCACTTAGGTACCACTTTTTACCCCTTGATCTCAGAGCATTTCACAGAACTGGGCAAGTATTACTGTCATTGCTCTCAGAAAAAGATATGCCAAGCCCCCTACATGACTTCTCAAAGATCACAGGCACAGAAGCCGACTTGTTCCCTCCATTGCCCTAGGGAAGGTTTTGTTCAGCAAACAGCTACCACCATGCCAACAAATAAATTAGTAAAGATTCATTATTTCCACTGCTTTCCTATCTCTTCTTTATTACTTGGAGTATACTCCCCAATTCAGGTTTGAGAGTCAAATGCAGCAAGAGGCCATACAATTGTTTCAGACACAGGAAAGATACAGTAAAACTTGGCTTCCTGTAATACCCCCCTGCCAGGGAGGATGGTTTTCTCTAGACTATTAGGTATTAGGCATTCTCTCAACTACCACAGCTGCTATTAGATGCATTTTTAAGCATCCTATTAGTGGGAAGTATCACTGTGTTTCCAGGTAAAGTCACTTCATACAGTAATAATTAGCTCAGGAAGTACTTTGTTCCTTTATACACCAGGAGCCAGGATCAATAGTAAGTGCAGAAGGTCCAACACCGCTTGGACTGGCGACTTCTCTGGATTTCCACTCGTGGACTCAGAGGTGATAACATGGCTGCATAGGACATCATAATTTCTTCAGTTTGGGTTGTGGGTGTTTTGGGGGTTCTTTTTTTACAGAATTACAAAATTACAGAATTGAGGCTTTCTACAGAGTGGTGCATTGTATAAGGCATTGCCTGTCATACTCTGCCAAAACAAATTAGCTGCCGTCGCTGGGAGCAGATTCATTAGGACCCAAAGGAAATTACATCACTGTGAGCTGCTTCTAGGTACTTCTGAGCTCAGAAAAATGCCAGCGTATTCTCAGGGGAACCTTGGCGAAACAGTCCTTAAATTCTTTACCAAGTGGTTCCTGATGACACCCCTATTTTATTATTTTTGGCAGAATAATAACTGTAAAAAGCTTGAAGATGAGGCTAGAAACAAAGATTTACAAAGGAAAAAAAGATCATGACAGAAAGAAAGAAAATGGGAACCATATACAATGACTGTAAAGTCTAGCAAGGAAGGATTTTAACACTCATATGCGTATCCCTGCCACTGGTTTTATCAGGGTTTACAAAGAAGGAAGCGTAGGATTTATTAAAGGAAAAAATGTTGCAAACCCATTTTCACCTCAGAAAGCACGATTTTTCTGAATTCTTGTGACGGAGTCACTTATAACTTAATCGTAACGGAAAGGGAGGGACCATGATCTGCCTGCTCTGAGAGCAGACGTGTTACTAACCGTGACAAAGCAGGGCTTGTCCCTAACGACACCGAACAATCAGCTCCTCAGAGCAGGAAAGCGTGGTACACGCTAGTGATGAACACCGTACCAGCATCAGAGTAGCACCTCAACCACTCACACAGTACCTAAAACCAGGAGGCAGCAATGCTTCAGCTGTAGGCCTGTGCTCCCCTCATCAATGATCTGTCCCCTGCTTGATCTCCCTGAAGACCGGGTCCTCCATGATCTCTCCTCTCTCTGCAGTAGCAAGAGGCAGGGGCTGGAGGCAGGCACCCTTTCACGCTCCCATCACCTCTGTCCCAGAAGCACTTCTCCATCTTCCCCTGTGTGGGTTTAGTGGGGGTCCTGGGAAAGGGGACGGAGGGACGGGAAGGCTGCAGTGAGGCAAGAAGTCCAGGAGATCAAGAAGAGGGTGTCACCACCCCGAGCAACACCTTGCTGCAAAAGCCTTTAAGAAAAAGATGTCTCCCTCTCTCTCCTCCCTCCCTTTCCACTTCCCAAAAGATCCCAGTCACCTGAGAGCACAGGGCTAGTGGGGGAGCAGGGGGAGGGGAGGGGAGGAGATCCCAGCCCCTACATCCTGCCCTGATAAAGCTATCACACCCTTACCCAAAAGCCTCAGCAGTATTGCGCTGCTGTGTGGTACCATCAACACTGAACACAGGCTGGGGAAAGTACAATATTCCCTAACCGTGCAAAATTCACCCTAACAGCTGGCCAAAGATTTTCCGTTTCAGAAAATATGCCAACTTTATAATAATATATAAAGCATATCAAATACAGCAACATTTTCTATGGGAAAATATCAGTTTATTGAAGATTTTCCATTTACTGCTAGGACAACTGGAAGATGTTATTTCAGGTGGATTAGATCCACCAGAATATATTTTTTAAAGTCAATCCAACACCGCACTGTAGTCCTTACCCTGGGAACTCCCTGTTCCTGGGTCAGATGCTCATTCCCTTCCAGGAACAAGGTTTTTCAGGCAGCTTCACTTCCCAGAATACGAAGCAGGCTTCCTTCTGACGAAGCTCTCCAGTGCCTCTTGGACATTTAATTATGGGAGAAGGGTCTCACATAATGAAATGGGAACACCATGCTCCTGAACTATAACTTCTGAAAAGCAATACACTGTGGTAGGGAAATGCAATTTAATTTTGAACTGACTCAGGAATATCCCATGGAACATTAATTCTATTTTCTGCTCACCTCTGAATGTCAGTCTATTTTTCTCTTTCAGTTTAGGAAGCTTATAAAAGGTGCAGCGAACCTCTACTTCCAAATCTGTGGATTCCTCCTCCCTCCCGCCTTTTGCCACAGAGCTGGGGTGGGTGCACGCCATCTGAAAACAGAAGCCTACTGTGCCAAGCCTTACCAGAGGCGATGCCTAGCCCGAGGAACTGCTATCTAGATCCCTAACACAGAAAAGTAATAAAGGTACTTCCACCCCCTTCAGGTTTGTAGGGGCTCTGAGAGCTCACACAACTTGCCCGAAGCTGCACAGGATCCTGTGCAAGAGCCAGAAACTAACCACAGCTTTACTAAGGCCCACTGCAAGTTTTTATTCATCTTGACACATTTCGTCTCAAAGTTCTTCCACTTCAATACCAAGAAACAAATATTACAGTGATATCTTAATGTAAGTAACTGTTGGCCTGGAAATTTAGCATGAGACTGAAGTGTTTAGCTAGTCTGAGCTAGTTAAAAGAACACCCAACTAGTATAAACTATAAGATAATATAGTCTGGCTTGAATGTAATTTCTCACCCCTGCGGTTGTCTTTTTCCATATTTACCTTAAAGGTTCTACATTTCCCTCTCCTCCATCCCCTAGATTTAACCACACAGAAAACACTTCACAGCAGATTTGCTCACCCAAATATACCCAGATGTTTTGCAAAATTCGGGTAAGCTGATCAACAGGGATGAACTCGATCAAATGGAAGAAAGATAATAAAACATACCAGATGCATCATCTTTCCTCCAAACAGAGGAAACATTTCTATTTCAGTTCACCCAGTTCCACATATTTTGCAAGACACAGACTGACATTACGTGAGTCTCTTCGGCACTGGTATCTATAACCAAAAATGTGAGGAGTTCCAGTTATCTGCAGACAGCACCTACTTCCTATGGTTATTATGGGCAGTACTAACACGTCAGGAATTCTGAGTATGTTTGTGTGAAGTGCCACCAAATCCAAAGTTAGGAGCTCCTCTACTACGAGTGTAAAACACGCGTGCCCAGAATAAATGGTAAAAAGGATGCTGGCATTTAGGTGATTCTCATACAAAGCACAGATTCAGATGAAACTCTCAGAATACAAGTTTTTGCTATATAACAAATATTACATAAAACTTCCCACTCAGTTTGATATTTCAAAATCCTTTTGGTCATAGGAACACCACAACTTAACCAGAAATACTGGAGAAAGAGCCTGAAAATACCATTGATCAATGAAGTGATGTATCTGCTAGATACTGAAATTACTTCTGACAAGTTGTAGAAAGAACATGACAGCCTGAATCTTCCTTTTACTCACAAACTCACTATTTAAGTGAGGACTATCAGGGGAATGTGCATGTTTTTTAATTACTGCTAGAAGGACTTTGTTCAGAGAAAACAAAAGGGTCAAGATGTAAAAAAAACCCAGCAATCAAAACCAAATGCCAAGTAAAAGCATTATTTGGGAACAAGCAAACAGAAAGGTTAAATTTAATTAACCCTGTGTTGTGATCGAATTCACACATGAGGAAATCGCAGGTAAGTGAAACTATAGCCAAACAAGCATGCAAGAACATTGATTACATCCTAACGTGGAAACCAACTTACTTTTCAATTTTGTAATAATAAGCAGCATTTCAAACAGCATATCCCACTAATGAAGAGCAAAGGTATATAACAAAATTCAGCTGATAGGAAAACAGCACTCCAAACTGTAATGGTAAGATTATTAAAGCTCAAGACTCCCTAGGTATGCCAAGACAAGTAACCTTGTGAGTTAACACTTCACTGAGGAATAAAGTTCAAATAATCCGTATGGGGAAAACAGGGGGGAATAAATCGCACGGGGAAAGCACTACGTGAGTATCTACCTCATCCTACAGGAACTGCTGAGTGCTCTGAAAGCAGAAGCAAAGCCCAGAGGAACCACCCTAGCAAATGTATGCAAAGGCAAGCTTCCTACTTACCCTATCGTCTGCACCATGATCTCTTTTGCCACCTTAGTAATTCCAAAGAATCCAGAATGATGTTATTTTTAAGGGAATATTAGAGTCGTTAGAGGAGACAGAGGGAAGCTGACAAGCAGAGCTTTGCGAGAAGCCAGGCAGAGAGGGATGAATTTAAACCCTGGCTCAAGATGCTGTGTATTCTGCGTCTATCTTTAACTTGTAAATGATTTGGTTTCACATTCCTCTGAAGTCCTGCTGGCAGATGCCTTTGCGGAGCTTTACCAATCGCAGGCACCCGGGCCCCCTCCCCTCCTCTCTCCCTCCCTCTCCCCCTCCCTCTCTCCCAAGCCTGCCACTCCACCCCATCTCCCCCATCCCCACCTCTCCCCTCTCCTCACTGCCACACACACGCACACACACAGAGGGTTTGGCAGGCAGGATTTCACTGACTTCCAACCACGGCTGCCCGCAGCAGGGAGGCTGCCATCGCCACCCCGCCAGCCTGCAGCAGCGCCGCAGCCGTCACCTGCCGCCGGGCACCAGCGGGTGCACGCCGGCTTCCCGGGAGCCCTCTGCTCCCCGCCAGCAGCCCTGCGAGCAGCTCGACACGGTGCCTTTGCAAAACCGCTGTGGCTCGGCCTGCTTATGTTCGGTGCGGAGGTACCCGAAATTATTGCTCGTGCCCAATTAGGCAAAGTCTCTGGGTTTGAATCCCGGAGCCACCAATGAAATCGCAGTCGGAAACAGGATCGTAAGAAAGCATTTTCTGTAGGGGACTCCAAACGCAACCAGCTTGAGGGGCGCGAGGGCTGGGGGAAGGAAGGTACAAAGAAGCATTTCACACTCTGTCATATCAAGCTTTCACAGAGCCTCATATTTGGATGTTTACAGCACTTCTGCCTGTGCAGAGAGCTTTACTGAGGAATGACGTATTAAAAAAAGAGAAGAACAAATAAAAAAGATTTTACCAAATCTTAAACACAAGGCTTCTAAACGCCCACTCTTAGTAAATTTGTTGCTCCTTACAATAACAATGCATTGCAATGTTGTTCAGAAGTCAGACTCTGAAATAGCTAGACTACTGATTAATGGCAGCATTCGAGGAGACTGAACAGGGGAAAAAAGTCCTTCCACATAACCCAGAAAGTCAGTATCCCTACCAGAGGCTTCAGGAGTCGTTAGTGTTGACACAAACCCCTGGCTCTTAATATCATCCTTTTGAAGCAGCACGCTTTTAATTTGTAAATGTGCTTTCAGTTGCTGCTTGCTATCAGGACTACATGGGTGGGAATGGAACAAGCCACAACACTCTATGTAAAACATATGAATTATTGAATACTTTCAGTTGAAACTGGAAAATATCAATTGACAGTCACACCAATTCAAACAGAATAACATGGTAAATGTCTCTGGTCTACAGTCTTCAGCCTTTGTCTGAGCTGCTGCCAACAGGGGTTCATACCCAGGGATGCAGCCAAGCAAGCAGCGAGCACAGGTCAGGGCGGGGGGGCAAGGTCAAGCTGTGCCCAGAATCACTTAGCTAAAAACATGGCTTATAAATGCCTTGCCAATACCCTACTTGATGAGGCATCACACTTTTCAGAGCACCGGTGTTGAGAGGCTGGACTGATTTAGTAGTAAAAGTAATCATGCGTTTACTTCAGGCTAACAAAGGAAACGGCTCAAAATTGGAAAGGCCTAAAGGGGGGTAAAAGAATCATCCAAAGGGCTGTATCTTAGTGCGCATGAAGTAAGCCTGCACTTCACCTCCTGCCAGCTACTCTTCATGATGCTGTTTGATAACATCTATATAAATACATATGTTTGATAACATAAATATAACGTTATATAAAGTTTGATAAAACAGTAACTCCATAGCCATTTTCATGGTCAGTCCCACAGGCAGGAAGGCAAGAGCTCCTCTTAACCTGGAGCCATCTTGGGCTCACAGGCCTGGAAAAGTTGCCAGCAGCATACAAATAGTAAAGAATAAACTAGCTGATGACTCCTGAAAAGTTGAAAGATTTATTTTGAATCACTAACCTTTGTTACTATTAGCAAAGCCAGACCTCAGTATGTTTAATGCCTGCCTTGCAGAGCACTTTAAAAACTCCAGCAAGAGAAAAATATGCCATGGACTTCCTGCCAGACAGGGAAGAAGTCACTTCACTTCTCCTTTGCCTCGGGTCCTAAAACTCTGTATTCCTGATACAACAGTTCAGGGAATGTGTCTATTATTCAGGTTTAGGAGCTGCAGTGAATTGCAGGAAGGCTGGCACCTCTTTCCCATGGAGCCACCTCTACCACTGCAGGCTTACAGATCTCAGAGTAGAGAAAGTCACTGAGCCACAGTGTCTCCCATTCCAATGAAGTAACTTCACATAAAGCAATGAGAATAACATACCTCAAATCAGTTTTTTTTTCAATTGTAAGGATGTCAGACTGGAAGGGCAGATAATCACTAGAAGCAGAGACCAAGTGTTAACATTAGGTCTTAAAAAGCACAGTGATTCAGATGCTCAGAGAGACAAAAGAGAAAGAACAAAGAAAAGTCATGCTTTTGTGGCTGAGGGCTCCTTTTTAATTAGGGCAACAAGGAAGGAAGAAAGAAGCTCCCCATGGAAGAAGGTGTGATGGACAAATGTGGTGATTCAGAAGTGAAGTCATGAACAGGAAGGATTAAGACTGAGCTGTTTCTAGGACTCCAATGTACCTCTAGAGAGTGCTTAAGTGTGGGGAAAAACACAAGGCAGGGAAATCCACAGAAGCACTTCCACACTTCTATCTAAACTTGTGTATTTCCCTTACTAGATATGGGAAAAAAGAGATTGGGGTTTGGATCCTCTAAAAGAACACTTAAAAGTGTTTGCTTCCCGTGTCTCTTAAGAGGTTATTTATAAACTTAAGAGTATGTGGGGGTGGAGCTCTGGGAAATGGCATGCTGGAAATTACTGGGAAACTTTGGATGTCAACATGGGCAGCATGATCCCATTCCCATGAATGGGACAGTCAGAGGTCATATGTCCAAAAACTGTATCACATAAGCCAAAAGAGAAGGCAGGTGTCCAGTTCCCTCAGATGAAGAGATGTGCTATAATACCAGTGTCTAACGTGCAATGCAAAGTGTACAGCTGGGAGAGATTTACCAAAGCTGTGAGAGGCAATACTACTTTTTCTCCCTCAGCAGGGTCTGTTGCTTAAAACCATCACCAAATGTAATAGATCAGGGACCTCTGTGGCATTAGATTTGAGATACATGAATACGTATCAATAGCAAGTTCTAGTGGAGGAGTGGGAGCTGAAGCAGCAGCTGGCATGGCAGCGGAGAGGAGAAGGGAACAGCAGGGAGGGGAGAGTAATTTGGTACCAGTGACAAGTGTAAATATGTAACATGTTTGGCGCCATGTGACTTCCTACCCATTCCCAATTTAGCCCAGTGCCTCAGAGGCATGGTCTGTCCCTTCACGTTTAGCTATTTTTAATGCACACAGAAGTTGCTCTTTGTCTTCCCGTGTCTGTCAGTGTCTTGAATTCATTTGTCTTGGCAGTCTTAAGATTTGGGCTTACTGGGACAAGCAACATCTTCTACCCTACGGGCTCAGTCCTTCGAGGTCTTACTCACAGTACTTCCTGCTCTTAGGAATGATCTCATTAACCTCTGCAGATGATTTCAGCACAGGTTTGATCGAGAGTAAGAACTTTGAGTAGGGGACTACCATTGCATTGACAGGAACGCGGTTCCCACCTGTCACAGTGGATCCAGCACACTGATTTTATTCCGTATTATTTGATCTACACACCTGTCACCCCCCCAGCCTACCTCCAGCCTTGGCTACTCAGCTAAGCGGTTACACCGTGAGCCCTCTCCAACATGGTCCAACGGACAGGGTTTGGCCAAGCTTTGACCCATGAGTTGCTTCTCTCCCACTTACCACTTTTTTACTGGAAGAGATGGGGAATGGCTATTGAAGCTGGTGGGGACAGGGGGCTCTCGGTAGCACCCCCCAGCACCTGCTGCCCTGCTGTCCCCACGATGCAGCCTCCGGCATGGCAGGGTACCTTTGCTCTGGAAGGCAACCCAGGGGACCGAGATGGGCTCACGCGGGGCAAAACACTGCCCTGGCCCCCCAGTGCTGAGTCTGACTGCTCCAAAGAAATGTATTCCAGCACCCTCCTCACTGAGTCTAATCCTCCTGCCGTTTTTGGGAGGCTCACTGGATAATGGGAGGAAGCTCAGTCACTAAAAATGTTCAGATGGGTCAGCTCCACTATTTGCAAAACATATTCAAATTGCTTGAATTCTTGGTAAGCATTAATAAAGTAAATGGGGAATGCACTTGATACATACTCCATGAGCAGTTCTGCAGCAACAGAGGATTTTCTGTGCTGGCTTTTCCCGTTTTATTTTCTGTTTCTGTGATTCAAGCTATGTGGGAAGAAGGGAGAACGTCCACGGTCATACATCTAAGCTTCAGAAACAAATGATATTTTCAGTCAATCCATTTTACTGAATAAAGGAAAAAATCCATGATTTACTTTTAAACATTTCTTTCCTTTTTCATACGTCTTGTATTTATAGTTTGCTAGAGTTTTTTGGACAAACCTGTAGTTTAAACCAGTGTTTATCATCATATATAAGCATGTCACATCTACAAGAGCCAAGATATAAAAGCCTTGGCTTTATTTTTCTACACGCAAAGTATGAACATTAATTATGAACAATTAAGCAACTTATTAAAAACTCTGTGCACTTGCCTTGTTCTCTGCGAAATCAAACCATTGTTTACCAGATGCCTACTTGAAAAATACCTAAGAGGAGAACTAGAACAGTTCTGCTTCCATCCATCTTTAATCCAAACACTAAATACAGGAAAAAGACTATTCTTTTTGTTAGATGTCCAAATTGATCAGCAAAATGAAGATCTCTGACATATAATAAAGAGAACTTTATGTTATGTTTAATTTTACCACACTGAAAGGAAAAATATTTTTCTAAAAACAATTAAAAAAAGACGGATAAACCTAATCCCACACAGTGCTGAGCCCTGGAAAAGTCTTTCCTTACCCATGATGGCACTCATGGATAAATAAAAAGGCTGCATCATCCATTATTAGTCCTCTACCTGAAAACACTCAACTTGAAAGCTTTGAAGTGACAGCTATAGTTCATTAAAGTTGCTTGGTGAGCAGTGCATCTAATGA